CCGCAAAAGCCCGCAGGTTACACCTCTTTGGCCCTGAACCGCCCGCATGGGTCACGGGTCGGCCCGCGGTCCCGACTTTCACGGGTCTGGCCGGCCCTTCCGTCTTGACACCTCTATCTCTTATCGTTTAAAATCATTAGCAACTTTGTAAAAGAAGAATAATGTCATTTAAGCTTCGTTTGATTACAAGATTGAAAAATGAGTGAAAAGAAAACAAATTTCAAAAAAAATAATTGTCTATAACTTATTTTTTCGGGAATTATCAATTAATTGTATTTGAATGACATAATCTTTCACCACAAAAATGTTGAAATTTTGGATATTTTGGATATTCGTTTGATTTTGTTTTCTATAGAAATTGTTCATTGAAGGGAAAAAAAAATTTACAATTGGGAATATAATTTGTTTCCATTGTCCAAAAAAAAAATTAGAAAACTATTTTCCCACCAAAGTGGTAGAAAAATAATTCAATTCAACGAAAACCTGGAAAAAATGGTCACGTTCGGGGGAAAAATGTTTGTCAAGAAAAATTTGACTATCAAATAAGAAAAAAGTTGGAATTTGAAAATTTTCCAAGTTTAATGGAAAATAGTAAAAATCAAACAGGGCCTTACTGTCGTTCACTATAGTAGATGTCATACGTAATATACATGTGATAATTAATAATTTGATGCACGAGACAATAAAAATTATCACATTAATGCATTAAATCACTAACCGTCATATGTATGCCACGTTTCCTAACTATAGTAAGGAGAGACCGTAAATAGCATTACTCGTAAAAGAAATTGTATTGAATACTAAATGTATAGATAATAAATAGGCAATAATTATGAATGTATAATTGAAATTATCATTCGACTTTGGTTAAATTTAAAAAGAAAATTATTAGTAAACCTTTATGAAACATGGGCATACGCAATATACAACCTGGTTTGACTTAGCTAAATGTAATAATTAATACATGAATATCAAAAAGTAAACCATAAAATTGATAGGATTTGTAATTGAAGCTCATATTCAAGAAAATAAAGGGCATTTTCTTGGTTCTTCACCACCAAAAAATGCTTTATTATTATAGATCTTAAATCATAGCACGCGAATTTTGGGTTTTCCATTAGTTTGAACAGATAATGACTTTTATAATTTTTTGGTTAGAGTTTTCAATGATTCGACGATCCACATGGTGTGGTGTGGTGTGGTGTGGTGTGGCGTGACAGTTATACCGGGGTGGAGTGAGTGAAAAAAAAGATGATTTTTTTATTTTTTATTTTTTGCTTTTTAACTGGACAAGGTCATTTGATGAAATTATCCCTTGAAATAAAAACAAAATAAGAGCAATTACATTGCTCACACATTTTGGAAGGATTTCGGGTAAAAGGACCATTTCTGTGAAATAAAAAAATTTAAGACTATTTGTGTCATATTTGAAACGTTTGGACTAAAATCACAATTTGGGCGAAGTTTGGAACCACTTTCCATAAAACTATAAGCTATTCATCGTTTCCACACACTTCCCCCCAGCACTCCAGCATTATAATTCGCCATAAACCCTTTCATCCTCAGGATAAATTGTAGTATTGTGCATGTTTATCGGAATAATTGATTTGGTTATAATTTAACTCGATAAAGCGTAAAATATCATCCATTATCGGTTTAATAAGAAGGTTTAATTCATTATTGGTTTAATTTTGTTCCCCTTTTTGTTCTAAGCCAGAATGAGGGAAATTGTGACAGTCCAAGTTGGAGGCTATGCAAATTTCATTGGCTCTCACTTTTGGAATTTCCAGGTGCAAAAATTTACATTTTTTTTATTGCAGTCAATATTAATTTATGCCTGCCGTTTATTCGAGATGTGGCTAAGAAAGTTGTAATTTTTATTTTTATTTTAATTATAGTGGGTGGTTTTTGTAAAGCTCCAAAATTTATGAACAAGTAGGCAAATTAAGAGGATTATAGCAATTTTTAGAAGGGTTTTTGTGATTTTTGAAATATGATTCAGGAATGTACTAGTAATTGAACGCTCAACTATTTTTGTGTATTGGACTTAATGATTTTCGAATAATATCTGATTTTTATTTTTTATTTTTTTACGTCCGGCGATTTGATACAGCGATTTTGTCTTTGGTTAAAAGATCTATTCCTCTTCCATTTCATTGATGAATGATATTTCCTGTTTTAAACGTTGAAGGATGAATTGCTTGGGTTGGCTGACAATCCTGAGAGTGATGAAATATTTAAATATCACAATCTCGACATGAATGTCCTCTACCGCAGTGGTGAAACTCATATGGTAAATCCATTTTCAATTGAACTCAGTGGAATAATTGACATGTTCCTTCTTCATTTACTATGACTTGCTTGATCTTCCTTCACCTGTAATTTCAAGTGCAAACGGTGATAATCTCTTCATTTCTTGGGTGCTTATCATATTCAGGGTATGCCTACATACACTCCTCGCTTGGTTTCTGTTGATTTTCAAGGTATGAAAATTTTAATTCTGGACCACCGTACCAAGCTTCTTTTATGGCCTATGAGTTCACTTACATTTTAATAAAAGTATTGATACTGTCAATATCTCGATCAATTTATCAACACAAAGTCAATGAAAAAATCATTAAGCTGTGATGAAAATGATACCAGTGACTCAAACTATGCTAATGAAAACGATATGTCTATGTCAAATAATTTTATTGGCATTAAGTCAATCCTCAATTCTGTGATGGACGGCTGCTTTACAGTCTTGAGTACCAATCATGACTATTTATTGGAATTGAAGTTCTATAGTAATTTGAGAAATTGAGATGCTTGAGATCTACCCAACAGAGGAAGTAGTGATAAAGCAAATAAATTGTTTAGGTGAGGTCAAAATAAAAATAAATGAACAACTTTGGAGGCTGTTGCTACGAATTATCAGAAAGGGAGGAGGGGGGAAGGAATTATGGGGAAGGAGTAGAGTTAGCTCTACAGGTGTACTTTTAGCACTGTGCTTGTTTGTATTTTTATTTTTTTTTAATATCATGTTTCTTCGAGGAGTATATGGTTGCTTCTTTACTTATGTTCTGGGCATTACCTTCAAAAGTTAGCTATTGATTTCATTTTTAATAATGGGTTGAGTCACCTTTGTTGCTCTCATCTACAAAAGTTGAACCGAAAAGATAAATTAGATCTTTTAATTTGACATAGATTATAGCTTTTGTTCCATGAGATTTTACCTTTTTGGTGGAGGGATTGGGTGTTCTTACAGGATTATAAGGTTCTCTAGGAAGTTGGTGAATAATATGGTAAAGAAGATGAGATCTTCAGGCTGATTGGCAAATGCTGTTGTCATGCTCCTACACTTGAATGAATTTTCAGTTTTTTTTTGTGTACTATTCATATTGTTCTTTGACAGTATCTGTCAATTGAAAGGCACTAAACTTGAAAGCTCTACATGTTATTGTCTCGTACTTTAAAGTGATTACTCTAATTGAAGGACAAGCGATTATGTTTTTCTTCTATCAAAATTATGTTTTTTTTGGAAGGTAAAATAAATAAATAAAATTCTATCAAAATTATGTATTGATGTATAATTTTTTGTCAGGATCCCTAGGGTCTGTGAGCTCACGAGGAACTTTATACAATGAAGCCGCAGCCCCACCAGGTGGTGTTTCAACATGGTAAGACTTTATTTATTTATTATGATTGATGATAGTCATTTCCTTTAGAAGTATGTTATGAAGTAATTGAAGGATTGACGACTCGGTCATATTGATGCTCAAAATGTCATAGACTCTTATTTTTTGTGTTGGGGGTTATGATTGTGTTCCCTTTGGTGCTATTATGTTTACACTTGCTACCTTGATTTGCAATAATAATGTTAGTTTCTTTCTAATTTTTGTTTTTCATATTTCTTCTTTTTTTCATTGTTTCTTCTGGTGCAACTGTAATGAACTGAAACTCCATGTACTTTTACTTATGTTACATGGATATTTTTTTTTCCTTCTTTCAAGTAAGCATTTTATTCTACCATTTTTTTTTTTCTATAAGTTCCAATGGAATACTTAAATTTCAGTCAGTGCAAACAGTTCTTGTTGAGGCCTACAACTTTTTATTTGTACTTTCCCAACGTATGGGCCACTATAACTTAATAGTCGTATGCTCTGAACCTTTGAAGTGAGGGAATAAACTGCAAAATTGAAGTGAGGAAACCTTTAGTTCTAGGGTTATGGGGAACATCTTCAGCTTTATATCTAGATTTTTTTACACATGAGAGCTATTGGCTTTATTGGATTGTTTACAAATTATTTTAAGAATCTTTTTTCTGAAACAATCGTGTACTTCCTTTTGGTCAGTTGCAAAGCTCGTAAGGGAAAGTGAGCATGGAGGAAACTTGCTTATATTTAGCTTGCATTTATACTTTTATCGCATTTTCACCTTTTTCTTTGTAGGAGGCAGGTAGCAATCTCATGTTATCTTGGACTTTGTTTACTTTTGGTTTTCTGGCAGTATGTTAAGAACTAAAATACACAGAACTTAAAAGAAAATGACATGGAACTTTGCAGTTTGCATTATCTAGTTGTGAATAATCTTTGATGATCCTAGATGGATGTTAGACATCAAATTATAGATCTCTTTGTCGAATATTGATAAAGTATTTGCATGTTCATTCTTCTTTGTACTCCATAAAATGCTCAATTTAAGATATAATTGGCAATTGCTGCTTTTCTTAACCTTTGGATGTGATAATTGTGCTTTCTAGTTAAGTGGCATGTAGAGACAATAATCATTTTGCCATCGGATTTGGCATTTATATGAATTAAATGTCTCCAGATCAATGTGTAGGATTGGTGGTGTCACAACTCGTGCATCTGAACCTTTGAAGAAGAACTTGTTCTTAGAAAGTTTGTACTTGGAAGACGAAGACGTGGGTATTACTAGTATTGATAGTGGGAAGAATAGTTGTAGGAGTGAAATTCAAGATAAAGACATTGTTGAATGTCTAGAAAATGGAGTTCAATATTGGACAGACTTCTCAAAAGTTCATTATCACCCACGGAGTTCATATGAATTAAGTGGATTGTGGATGGACATTGAGGATTTTGACAATTATGGAGTTGGAAGAGATGCATTTTCTGGGGGTCTACGTGGAGAAGAAATATGCGAGAGGCTTCGTTTTTTTATTGAAGAATGTGATCATATTCAGGTACTCCTTACACACGAGACCTTATTCTATTTTGAAAACCTTTTAGTCTGAAGATTGTCGCTATCCCTTCACTTAATCAGTAATTTAAATGGAAGAAAAACTCTTCATCTTTGGGAAATCCAATAGCATTGTCTAAAATTCTTGGAAATTTATCAGTCTAATCTAGACAAACCTTCCCTAACACACCATTTTTGCTAGGTAGTGAATTTCGATCTCATTTGTTTCATTTCCCAGTAATAAGGGTTAAGTAATCTGCCTTCAATAAATCACATTTATTTTCCCTTCATATAGCCAGCTGTGTCCCTGATACTGATACTGATACTGACACTGACATAATTACTTATCCACTCTATGAAATTAAACCGTGTCGTATAATGTCCCTGTCGGGTTTCTGTGTCAGTGCTTGCTAGCTTTCAAATTTCAATAAAGGATTGATCTAAAATTAATCCTTGTCAATGCTAAGGTTTAAGGGGTGTGGTTACTGATGTGGAGATTGAGATTTCATCAAATGGGATTTTATCTGTTAGCATGATAGCTGAAATTTTCAGGACATTAAGTAAACCGTTGCACCATACAGTATTGTTATGCTTATATGAGTGTCATTTCATTGTTGGCTTTTGCTCATCATAACCATTTCCGGGACATGGGTACGGGCCCATGTCCTAATAATTGACTGGGGTGATTTACGACTCTTTAGTGATCAAGGAATGGTTCTAGAAATGACATGTTTATGTATGCCATAAGAAATCTTGTTCACACTCGACTTCTAATGACTAGATTGTTTTGGAACAAATATCACTGTTTAGGTTTAATTTTAACCCCCAGTGACAATTTCTTCTTCTTTCTTTCTTTCTTTCTTTTTTTTTTTGGGGGCAGGGGATCCAATTTGTTGTCGATGATGCTGGAGGATTTTCTGGTGTAGCTGGGGAGTTTTTGGAGAATATTGCAGATGAGTATGCAAATATTCCAGTGCTACTATACAGTGTCCATAGTCCCGTTACTTCCATAGATCCAAAAAGCAGGAAGCAGACAATCTCCCGCAAACTTCATGATGCAGTTTCATTTTCAAGGCTATCAGCTTTCTGTAAATTGGCCGTGCCAGTTGGTTTGCCATCCTTCAGTAGAAGTAAGCATTACCAACATGGTCTCAATTTTTTTGTTTTCCATTTTCAGTATATTGAAAGGATTATTTGGCCAGCTTTATGACAAGGATGCATAACCTTCTTGTGAATATCTATGCTTCTTAGAATGAATAATGAAAACAGATGGCTTTAGTGCTTGAAGTAAAACAAAAAATAAAGATAAATTATTTTGAGGTCTTAACTGATGAAAATGATATGTGAATTGTTTTACTCTGCAATTTGTATAAATATTTTGATCCTAAGATTATTTAAATCAATATAAACACATATTTTATATATAATAGAGACTAAACTATTAAATTCAAAATATGAATATCGTATGACAAATCAACTTAATTATCCATAGTATTCCCATGTGGATGATTCTCTCTGTGTCTAATATCTTGGGTGGAGTTTTAATCCTAGTTTCCATGGAAACACTCTATTATCTACATAAATAGTGGTTCAAACTTTCGTAATTTTGCTTTCCTTATTTTTTATTTTATTTTATGAAGGTAGAGCTTCCTCGTTTCTTTGCATAAAAGACGAAAAGCCTTACCACACCAGTGCAGTTTATGCATCTGCAATACACTCCATCAGTCTACCTTTTCGAATGGAACAACTAGGGCCGAGTGCACAATCAAGCTACACATGCGGTGCAATGGCTGTCAATGACCTTGTACAGATGCTAGCAGGCCAAGCTCAGCAGAATATGGTTAGCATTTTGGACGTTTCTATGCCAGCACCTTCTTTGACTGGTAGAGTATCCGTCTCTCTAACTTGTTCCCTTTCTTTGCAAATCCCCTTTTGTTTTTGCTGAAGTGTCTGACTATGTAACTAGGGTACCCAGTGCCACAATCTTTGCTGGAGAATTTGCAGCCATTGACCCCAGAGATAGCGGAAGATGTTGAAGATTTTCAAGCAGTGGAATCCATGACCGTTCATGGAGTCTATAGAGCAGGTAATGCTTATTCTCTTGTGCATTTGCCATCTACTAGGACTATTCATTCCTGTTTTCCTGCTTCACTGAACACTGAATACGTGTCTCAAGAGGTTCATACTTTCGTGGTGGTCTCATTTTTAACCTTTGTTTCATTAAGAAATGGTCCTGTAAATTGTGGAACATATTTGTTTAGGTTGAATTGAAATACTGCTTTCATGGGTCCTGTAAAAACTTTCATGTGATGATGTGACATTGTTTGACTAGAATAGAGAGGCTGGGTTTCATCTTCTGCAAGATGTTCATCAATAACGATTCAAAAATCCGAACGCCAATTTATCGTAACATCCGTATGTGACTAGTTTCATAGTGGAAAATGATTGTAATTAGAATAATTATCAGGCCACAGAGAGTGGAAAAGAAGGAAGCAAACATTGTGCTGCATAAAACATTTCCTTAGTTATCTAATGTGTTCCGCATTTTGTGTTCTTTTTCTTTCTAAACTCAGGGTCTCAACGAGCCTCGGTTTCTGAAGTTAAAGATGCAGTACAAGCTGCTTATGATAAAGCAGTAACAAGGCCCAAATTCTCACATCTATCTGTAGCTCGTCCTCCTCTCCCTGTACCCTTGCCATTTCCTTCTATATTTGGGAACCGTGTTGGTCAACATGGGGAACTTCTGGATATGCCAATTTCAGATTCTGCATCAAGAGGTTCACTTGAAGTCCACTCAATTCCCATGGCAGCAAGATTGCGTTCTAGCAATGCTGTTTTGCCGTTTCTGGAAAATAGGTTAGAAAATCTTCGCAAGTTTGGTATTGCGCGAGGAGCAATAGGGATGGAGTTAGTCAGAAATTGGGGTTTCGGGATGGATGAACTTGAAGACATGGGCGAGACACTGTCTAAAATGGCTACGACACTGATGCCTTGTTCTGGAGAGGAGTCGGATTCTGATTAAGGTTGTATATCGTAGGACTCGTAGCTCGGACAGTGAAACTTGAGAAAGTTGGTAGTCTGTATTGTGTACCATACTTATCAGGAAACTGGGTCAACACTATTTAGAAGTTGCTTCTTAGTCTTACAAGTAACTTCTGATTTTTTAGAAGCTGTGTTACAAACCCTTATTATTGAATTATTATCTAAATTCATTGGGAAATTTTATTCATAATAATTTTCAATATGTATACAACTATAAACGTAATCTTGACAGTCTTCTCAAATTAGGAATACATCTAATACATGTAATCTCGACCATCACACGTGATCTATTTCGTCGTCCAAATGTCTCAAGTAAACGAAGATCAATACCAAAAGCAGCTGCTTTTTTATTCACGGATGGTTTCCCCTTTCACACAGTGGAAGTGTCATCACTGAATGCCACAAGTTTGAACACCAATCTTTACAAAGCACACTCGAACATGGTACCAGTGCAAATGACTTAACCTTTTCTTCTCGTCCGAACCAAGTTTGAACACCAATCTTTACAAAGCACACTCGAACATGGTACCAGTGCAAATGACAACCTTTTCTTCTTGTCTGAACCAATTATAACAAACTATGAACAACAAACGACAAATTTAGAATCGACTACACGTGATATTTTAACTGTCAAGGTAAAATGTTGTCAAAATCTTACTTAAGTAAGTAGAAATAAAACATCATGATGTAAATTTTCATTTCATTAGGATATCAAACTGAGAAATTACACTTCCTTTTTCCTACCTACACAAAAAAGGAAAAGGGGACAATATCAATGGGCAAATATTCATTCCCACCGAACTGCATTTTTCTATCTAACATTAACATGGGCATTTCAGTTTAACAAGAAAAAATTGCTGGATCATCAAGTTTTCTTGTTCAAGAGCCCTACCCCACCCCACATATACATACATTCTGATTGTCTCTACATTCTTTCAAGCAAAAACAGCACCACGAGACAGAGCCATTAAAATCAGAGCAGCCCTCTCTACCTCACCCCATTGCCTTGGAATCCTCTGCCTCTTCATTGGTGACCTCTGCCTCTGCAAATACAACACATTTACTTTCATCACATCCTTTGATTTTCCAATTTTACCCTTTTTACCACCATTCTTGGTGGAAATGGTGGCTGCCGCTGCGGCGGCCGAGTTGGTGGTGGGATTCTCCTTTTTCCTCTCTCTGCCTATTGGCCTGTCCAATCCCACAAAAGGACTCCTTTTCTTTCTCTGTCTAATCCCACAAGCATTACACAGTGTCTGGAACAAAAAAAGTAAGAAAACTCAAAATAAGCTTAAAATCAAACAACCCATAGCAAAAAAATGCTTAAAAACGAACAATTAAGGAGTAATCAACCTTGGGGCCAGAAGGACCACTCCTCCACAAAGGGGTTTTTGTGGTCTTACAATCAGCACAAATCCTCTTGATTTCAACCTCGATTATACCGTCAGATAACGAAGACTCTTCCTACAAATAAAAATAAACCAAAAATCTCCGTAAAAACACAGTATAATCAGTTAGAATTGACGAACAAAAAAACCAGCCACACCTTTTGGCTACAATCCATGAATTTAGCTCTTTCTCAAAGAAAAACCGTAATGATTCTTGTTCTTTTCTGGTGTAATTAATCCACATATAATGAAAACTTCAAAAGGGCTAAAACCTTATTTAGGGAATAGCTTTCTGTAAATGATTATTCGATTTTCTCGAAAAAGAGCCAAAAATTTCGGATTTATGGTGAAAGAGAATAAAAATAGAGAAAACCCGTGTACCAACACACACAATAGAATCAAAAATTACGAAGTTTTTCTTGAAACCGGGGAACCCAAATACGAAAACACACACACAGAGAACAGAATCAAGAATTAGGGAAACTTTGCTCAAAGAGAGGAAAATGGGAGGAACCCCACATACTAAAAGACACACAGAAACACGCACAACGATGAACTGCAAACTTCAGCAGCGACGTGAATGATCAGAGTTTTTAGAACCGACATCATCTAAATGGCGGCACCGTACAAATTGACAGAAAAGGGCCTGAATGGACACAATGCCCGCCAAAAATGTAAGACGAGGCTCGCGTGATACGCGTGTCATCTTGCATGCACGGGGCCAATTAATATTTTATGTTTTTTTTTTACACATACGATGTTGGGAAGGATTTTAGTCTTTATTTATTAGTTAAGTGGAATGTTTTTAATAATGACACTAACAGTTAACTCCAATTTTACGTAGTTTTATTTTATTTTAAAGAATTGAGACAAAGATATAGACTTTCTTTACGTTTCAAAAATATCATTAACCATTCTTATTTTAAAATGTGAGTATCACAAACTCTTCTCGATCACTTTGAGTCCTATATAATTTAAAATTCCCTTATTAAAAAATGATAAAAATTTCTACGATTAATTTTAACTAAATTTGATCGAAGTAAAATATCATTAACCATCCTTATTTTTAAAAATGTTAAGTATAATTAATTATTAAGAGGCAAATTAAATTATAACTAATTGTAGAAAAATTATCGATAACTTCACAACGACATTTTTGGTATATCAACTTCATTTAAGATGATATAATACTCATATTTAGAAATCGAGGAGGTAAGTGATATTTTGTAACGTGGGATTGTGTCTTTAATATTATCAAAAATGTGATGAAGTATCTCGAATATTGTCTCTAAAAGTATTAAATTATACACTATTTTTTACCATTTAAGAATTTTCCCACCATTATATGCTTCAATGATTTTGACACTTTGTTGTACTAATTTGTCTACTATAGGTCAAATTCAGCGTACCAATCATACACTCATAGTTCATCTAGAGAAGTAGCCATTAGGCTGGGTTGTTCATTGTTACGTAGTCCGATCTCAAATATTTAATATTCATGTCATTCGACGTTTGTCGTTCTTCTCTATATAATCGTTTTATCTGTTATCTTTTACATGTCATTCATTATTAGTCTTTCGTCACAAATTTCTCATAATAAGTTTTTCGAGATAAGACTTTCCCAATAAGTTGTCAGCTTCGATCTTCTTCAACGTCATAGTGATGCCACCTGTCATCTACTCGAATTGGTCATACCCTTTTAATCATGTCCAATGTATGCTATTAATTTCCTCGTGTTATACAAATTAAAAGTTTATGTCGATGTGGCATTGAATAAACAATCAAGCCTAATTTGGTGTTCAATGAGTTCTATATACAATTCAATATGATGCATAAATGTCTTATTTTCTTTTTTTCAAAAAAAAACCCATGTCTAGCTATGCATAGGAAGTATAAAATATTTATGAGTAGTGCTAAACAATAGAGCTTTTCAATATGTTTGTTTAAATATAATTCATTTTACTTGTGGTAAAAACTTTTTTTAGCAATCCACTAATATATTGGAGGTTTCATTAGTGTACTTGTTGAAGAAAAATTTTGAGTGCTTATTATTTTTGTTATCATAGAAACTCAAGTTATTAAAGTCTTGAAGAATCTCAATCAATAAAGAAGTTTGGTGTTCCTAAGTCAGTGTCAAGCACCATTTAAAAATAAATAAAGAAAGGTAACTTTCACTATCGTCTAAACTGAAGTTAAATACTGCTGGTGTTTTATAACATTATTCTAACTTAAAATTAAAAAATTGTTGTAAACTATGAATATAATACAAGTAAAAGTAAAACAAGACTATTTAGAATGAACTTTTGCTTTGATTTACTTATTATACATGGTTTAATAGTGATGGTTGAAGGTTTACATGCCCGAGCTCGTGGTCATTGCCCGATCTTACATGCCCATGATTGCACCAATTATGAGGTCGAGCTTCGAGATGAGGTCGGGTATATGCTGTTCCTATGCAGACCACTTGACCCCATCTTACGTCACTAAGAAACAGTGATCTTTTTTTAATTAACTCTCATATTCTGATACGCAATCTTACAAATTCGACTCTAACTCAAATTGCGCGCTCCTAACACAACACAAATATCTTGTGCAACAAGGATAAGAACTACAGGAGGTTGAATCTTTTTAGGACTCCATCTCCAACATTTATAAATATATAACTCAACCTCATTATTCAAGTATGTTCTTCAATAATATTCTAGCATACAATATTTTACGTGATTCTCTTTCTGACTTAAACATCGGAGGGGCAACGAGGACACACATCAACGCCTTTATTTCAGTATTGAAGATCAGATCGTGCGGAGTTCAACCATCCAATTTGAATTTATCTAGGTATGAATTTTTGGTAACATCAAATAGATCTCCATTTTTTACAAAAAGTTCAAATATGTCCTATTTTTAATCTTAAAGGATAACTACCCTTTTGTAAGCAAATCTTTAATAAAATTTACCTTAATAAATTAGACTCCACTTTTAAATAGACTAGTTTTTCCCCTAACATTGCAAACAAATCACTAAACCCTAAAAAATCTCTTCAAACAAAAATCAACCTTGCCGCTACCCCTTGATGCTGATGTTGTCGTCACAAAATAAATGTCATATCGAGCGCACTGCTACCTAAAAATTCGAGTTTTCTTCTTGTGTCTCTTCTTGTAAGTATTCTAGATTGATTTTTGAATCAGGATCTCGATTTGAATTTTAGATCTAAAAATGGATCTAAATTCATGATGGTGTTATGATTGTGATGATGGTTGCACAGTGGTGTTGGGGCCGATGGTGGTGCATGTTGGCGGACCGAAGGTGATGATATTGGCATGATGTTACATATATTTTTTTTTTCCAACCTTCGTATGTAATCCGTAAAAAAAATAAGGGTCATGCTACTTGTACACCAGGTTGACACCTTACCCCCCTCACGGGAGGGGGGGGGGGCGAGAATAGCATGTGACACGAGCAGACCAGTGTAACTCATCAAGCCACACGAGCTAGCTCAAGCTCAAGCCGACTCGTGGCCGACAAGCCAAATTGGCACCCCTAGCGGATCATCAGTTAACAGAATCCGCTACAGTACGCCAAATAATCACCCTTCTTTTTCCTTGTAGTGAGCTTTTAACATCATTTGACATACTCGACACTCATTTTCTCTTTCGAAGATGACAATCATATTACTTGTAATGAAAATAAAGAAAAAGAGTAGCAAAGGCACCTCAAAATAGACAGGAAACCATGAGAAAAAGTAATAAAAGGTTTCGTCGAAAGTACAGACAGGGTAGTTAAGTTTTTGGGAGGGCCAAAATCACCCATCGAAAGGTCAAAAAACAAGGAAAATTTTTAGGATACAAATTACACAGAACTGACAACACAAACATCTTTGTAGTAAATTCTCGTCAATGGTTCGACAGACAACGTTCGTGCACCTTAGGCTTTCGAGTTTCATAACCAGTGATACTAACCTTCATTTGAAACTGAATCCACCAGAAGGCACAGAGACATCTCCACCTCCAAACTGGAAGCCTTGTTGGGAGGCATCTCCTGGGGCTGCCTCTTCGTCGTCTTCCTCTAACCAATACATCTCTAAAATCTTTACTGCCTTCTCGTAAATCTCATTATTATCGTGACTCTGCAGGTTCTCGATTTTTTCCAGCCCTTCAGCATCGTCAATCATCTGAGCGAAAAGGTTGATATCTCCTGTATGTCCCAAGTTCTTCTCAGCTTCCCCTACCTTCAAAATGTTTTCGAGTCCTTCCAAACACACTGTGACGATTCTTGGATCTGGGCAGACAAGAAGATCACATAGAGGCTTAATACACTGTTGGCTCACAAGGTACCTGGTCAAAACCAAAAACAAGTTCTGTTATGAACAAGTAAAATACTAATGCATCTTGAAATATTAAGATACCAAGGGAAAATTGACTACACACTTAATTTGTTCGTGAGTGCCACCGGATGTTGCATTTGATATTGCCCAGGCAGCCTCCTTTTTCACATCAAATTCAGCATTTAAAAGCAACTGAACCAGAGGGCCGATAATGCCGACCTCAATCACAGCCTGCAGAGTTTAAAAAAAAAAGTGTCGCCCACAGCTCAGGAGGGTTGATAATAAGAACAAGAAACTACATGCACAGACTCTTTTTGTTCCCTACGAATTTGGGGTCAGCTACATGAATCCAAAAACAGTTTCACAGAAGCATAAACAAATCAAGTAAATATTTTTTCAATACAAAGCCTGAATGCTAGAATCAAATTAACCTGGATTTGCTCCTTATTTCCAGCTGTGATGTTCGAAATAGTCCAGCAAGCTTCCTTTTTAATGCTCTTCTTATGGCTACCCGTCAAGAGGTTCAGAAGACAGGGCAGTGCATTGTAGCTGATGATATACTGTAAAAAATACGAGACTGCTCAGCCATCGCAGGTTACAACCAATCAAAATTACTGTGCACAATGATCTACAAGGATCTGCTGGGACTTCAAAAGAAAACCAAAATTCAAGCAGAAAAGCAGACACACTACTGGACAGGACATTGTCATTCAAGTGCATATCATATGGACTGCAATTCAACAGGAAGTATTACTTTTGCATAAAAGGACCTTTTACAGTTTTATAACAAAACAAAACTATATGATGCAGCTAAAGTTCAGTTCATATAAGGAGCATTACTGATCGGAACAA